TTGGCGTCAGACAAAACCTTTTTACAATGGTTTCTGGCGATAGTGAACAGATGTCTGTTTTCTGGAGAATTGTTTTGCTGATAGATATGGAAGTAACGGTTTCGGTTAGAAATTGCTGCAGCGCAATGTGAGGAAAACCAAGGAGAAGAGTGAGGCTTGACCTGGAATCGTCGAGAGGGAATAAAAGATTCCATGCCAGCCTGAATCCACGAAGTTATGTAAGAAGCACATTTGTCAGCAGGAAGACGAAAGATTTCTACCCAAGGGACATCACGAAGAAAATCACGGAAAGAGTCCCAGTCAGCTTTAGGGTAGTTGTATGTGGTACGATGATAGGGGGATTCTGATGAAGTAGAAGAATTTGATAATAGTTTTAGAGAGATCAAACCGTGATCAGAAGTACCTAAGGGTGAATGTGGAGAAATTGAGCACTGACTAGGATCCAAAACAAGACATAAGTCGAGTAGAGAAGGTAAATGATTAGGGTTGTCTGGAAAACGAGTTGGAAAGTTGACTATTTGAGTTAGAGATTGAGAAAGGCAAAAGTTGAGGGCCTTAGCGCCAGCAGAGTCACTGACACTAGAGCCAAGCCAATCGGTGTGATGGGCATTAAAGTCACCAACAACGACGATATTGGCCGATGGATAAAGAGAGAGGGCTTGGTCAATTTGATCAGAAATAACATCAAGAATAGTGCAATCTTGGGATGAAGGAGAGCGATATAGAACAAAGAGAAAGGCGATAGAGTGAAGTTGTGCTAAACGAAAGCACATAAATGAATAGTCTGTAGATTCAAACCTAGTTTCACGACAAATGGGTGAGTTCTTACGAAGGTAGATGCCCAGGCCAAGCATGTGATTATTGGAGTCTTTACGAATTAAAGGAAGATAACCATCAACACTAAGATCACAAGATGGGACAGCCGAACTCAAATTAGTCTCACAAAGAGCAAGTAGGTCTGGTGAACTTTGCAAGAGATAAGACTCAACGGAAGAAAAGTTACTTCGAAGACCACGAATGTTAGTAAATGATAGGTTTAGAGAACTTGGTTCAAAACAATTCTCCAGAAAACAGATGTCTGTTTTCTGGAGAATTGTTTAGCTGATAAATATGGAAGTAACGGTTTCGGTTAGAAATTGCTGCAGCGCAATGTGAGGAAAACCAAGGAGAAGAGTGAGGCTTGACCTGGAATCGTCGAGAGGGAATAAAAGATTCCATGCCAGCCTGAATCCACGAAGTTATGTAAGAAGCACATTTGTCAGCAGGAAGACGAAAGATTTCTACCCAAGGGACATCACGAAGAAAATCACGGAAAGAGTCCCAGTCAGCTTTAAGGTAGTTGTATGTGGTACGATGATAGGGGGATTCTGATGAAGTAGAAGAATTTGATAATAGTTTTAGAGAGATCAAACCGTGATCAGAAGTACCTAAGGGTGAATGTGGAGAAATTGAGCACTGACTAGGATCCAAAACAAGACATAAGTCGAGTAGAGAAGGTAAATGATTAGGGTTGTCTGGAAAACGAGTTGGAAAGTTGACTATTTGAGTTAGAGATTGAGAAAGGCAAAAGTTGAGGGCCTTAGCGCCAGCAGAGTCACTGACACTAGAGCCAAGCCAATCGGTGTGATGGGCATTAAAGTCACCAACAACGACGATATTGGCCGATGGATAAAGAGAGAGGGCTTGGTCAATTTGATCAGAAATAACATCAAGAATAGTGCAATCTTGGGATGAAGGAGAGCGATATAGAACAAAGAGAAAGGCGATAGAGTGAAGTTGTGCTAAACGAAAGCACATAAATGAATAGTCTGTAGATTCAAACCTAGTTTCACGACAAATGGGTGAGTTCTTACGAAGGTAGATGCCCAGGCCAAGCATGTGATTATTGGAGTCTTTACGAATTAAAGGAAGATAACCATCAACACTAAGATCACAAGATGGGACAGCCGAACTCAAATTAGTCTCACAAAGAGCAAGTAGGTCTGGTGAACTTTGCAAGAGATAAGACTCAACGGAAGAAAAGTTACTTCGAAGACCACGAATGTTAGTAAATGATAGGTTTAGAGAACTTGGTGATGACGATGGTTTTTTGTGTTTTTTAGTTTTAGGTACTTTAGTCATTTTAAATTTATAAAGAACTTGACTCAAGTATAGATAGTACTCAGTACACTGTTTAACAACTAAGCAATACTAAAAGCAGTGCTAAAAGAGAATTTTATTCACAAATGTATTAAATATTTTTTTTTTCTTATTAATTCAATACCATCTAAAGTTTTTTTGAGGTAATACATTTATGAACATAAACTACGTTTACAAATATCTTATTGGTAACTGATAAGATCTATCTATAAATTATTTATAACCTTTATTAAAAATACTACATTAAATATATATAAATTGAAACAAATATATAAACAGTGATAAACAAACAAAATATTATGTTAAGTATAAGATTGTTTTAAGAAATAAATTATAAAAAAATATAATCTTTTTCAAATGCCGAATTTAGATGATAATATTAATTTTTGTAAAATTAGTTTAAATAATTTTTAACATGGTTTAAAATTGAATTTAATTACAATGTCATACTTCAAAATACTTTCAAAACACCAATAGTTTTAAAGCTGCTATAACAAATAGGATCTTAATAATTACAAACATTAAAATCAAAGGGTTTTAAAGTATTTGTATATATTTTTTTATATTTGCCAATACTTTGTTGTTGAAAAAAAGAGTACCTATTTTTTTTATAAAATATCTTTATCTGAAATTAGAAAAGTGAATGTTGTTAACATTACTTTTATTTGCGCAAATCATTTCTAGTCTACGCTTATAATGAAAAATGTCTAGAATATGCAAAAACTTCTCTGGATGCAAAAATTAAAAAAAAAAAAAAAAACAGGCAACTCAAAAAGTCAACGGACTAAAATTAACAAACTGGTTACTTTGAGTAGCCAATCTGGCGACTGACTGAAAGTTCGAGTGTATACCCCTATATATATATATATATCAAGCCTTCCTAGGAAAGGCGTGCAGTTTTTTTCGTCTTGTATGACCACGCATGAGTATTTCAATTTAAACAACATGGCCATTTACAAGTTTTATTATATGCGTTGCTGAAAAAAGTTTTAAAAACAAAGAAAGTAAAATAACAAAATAGGAAATTAAAATAAACTTAAATCGAAAATAATAATAATGGTTTAAATAATTTGTGAACTGTTTTTATTTTTGTTTCATCATAGTGGTTAAAATTCAGTAAGTCAAAGCAAAAAAACAAACAGTTTTAAACATTAAAAAGGATGACTTTCCTATACTTTATTTGTTTGTTTTTTTTTAAAGAGGAAAGCGAAAATATGATCCGTCATCTGTTTATAAAATACATTTGAATAATTTTAATTTTACAAGTATATATTAAGGGTGGAATTAAACGATCGCGATTTGCAAACTCTGGAAAAATATCTGGTCTTCAAAATTTTAGTTTATGCAAAGCTGTGTACTTTGTTTTTAAGGACCAAATTATTATGTTTGTTAGCATAAAAGCTATAAAAAACAAAACAAAACAATAAACTTACTACTATAAAAGTAATATCGCTTTAATCATTAACTGCATTATAAAAGTAATAAAACTATAATAGTGTTATTACTTTTATAAAGCACTTACTACTTTAAAAGTTCATTCTTTGTATAAAGCACTTATTACTTTAAAAGTTCATTCTTTGTTCAAACAACATTAGTAATTCCAAACATTAACTAAAGTAGAAAAGCATCTAGAAAAAATAAAGTGGATACTCAAATATTATTAAAAACTTCAGGAACTTTTACGAATCACTTAAACAACTTTAATGTTATGAAAAACGCTACTAATAGTTCATAAAAACGTGCGATAATTTTATAACCAACCAATAAAAATTGGTCGATTTTAAAATTAATGCGCACTTTTACAGACCATTAGTAACGTTTTTCATAATGCTAAACTTTTTATAAATTACGTTTCATAAAGTTGTTTGTCACGTTTTTATAAGTTACTTAAGTTTTAAATATTATTTGAATATCCACTTTATTCTTCTAGATGCTTTTCTACTTCAATTAAAATTTGTGATTACTTATGTTGATTTAACAAAGAATGAATTATAAAAGTTATAAGGGCTTTATAAAAGTAATAACACTATTATAGTGTTATCACTTTTATAATGCAGTAAGTGAATAAAGTGTTATTACTTTTGTAGTTGTAAGTTTCTTGTTTTATTTTTTTTAACTTTTTCGCTAACAAATTTTTGTTGATTCGCCCTTTGAAAACAAAGTACACAGCTTTGCATTAAATAAAATTTTGAATACCAGATATTTTTCCAGATTTTCCATTTCGCAATTGCTTAATTCAACCCTTATTGTTACATTAAAATTATACAAATATATTTTACAAACACATTGCAATTTATATTTTTGCTTTCCTCTTAAAATTAAAAGTTAAATAAAGGAAAGTCACTCTTTTTATTGTAGACTTAAAAATGCTTTTTTTTTTTTTGCTTCGTCTTTTCTTATTTTGTTGCTGAATGTAACAACCAGTCTAAGGAAAAACAAATAAAAACAGTACAAAATTATTTAAATTACTAAATTTTTTTCTATTTTAATTTCTTTTTAATTTTTATTTTTTATTATTATTTTTTTTTGTATTGAAACTTATTCCGCAATGATTATAAATAAAACTTGCAAACGGCCATGACCAAGTTGTTTAAAATAATATACCCATGTGTGATCATAATAGACGAAAAACCGCACGCCTTTCCTGGGAAGGTATATATATATATGTATATATATATATATATATATATATATATATATTATATATATATATATATATATATATATATATATATATATATATATATATATATATATACACACACACACACATAATATAACATAATATTTTTCCCATACATTACAAATTTAACTTTTTACAAAACTTTTTTAAACGATAAAGAAAAAATAAATAAAAATACCTTGTAGGACCCATAGGCATGATCAAACATTTCAAGTGTCTTCAATCTATAATAGCAAATATACATATATATATATATATATATATATATATATATATATATATATATATATATATATATATATATATATATTTATATATAAAAAAAAAAAAATTTTGTGAGAGTTGTAAATTGCTCCCGTTAACCATTTTAGGGAAGTGTGAGCAAGAGCCTAGGCAGAAAAACAATAAACTGTTAACTATTAGCTGCGGCGGGAAACCAAGACTTATAGTTAACAATGTATTGTGTGTATATATATATATATATATATATATATATATATATATATATATATATATATATATATATATATATATATATATAATATACCCATATAGTGTAGTCGAAAGAGCGTTTTAATGTAAAAAAAGTTTCTTACGACTACAATTTTAATTACCTCGTCTCTTAAGCTGTTTTTGATTGTCATCGAAATGTCAAAGCAATTAATTTATGCGGAAGTACATTAAATTTAATTGTTTTTTAAAAATTTTTTAAAAAACGAAAATTATAACGACTAGAAAGTTATTTTTAATTAGTGGTGTTTTTGTTATTGATTTAATAAAAAACATTTTTAAAACATGCGTAAATGTTGCTACATCGACTATCTTATAGCCTGACTCGCAACGGAGTGCTGCTACATCGACTGACAAATAGCCTGACTCGCAACGAAGTGCTGCTACATCGACTGACAAATAGCCTGACTCGCAACGGAGTGCTGCTACATCGACTGACAAATAGCTTGACTCGCAAGGGAATGCTGCTACATCGAATGACAAATAGCCTGACTCGCAAGGGAGTTCTGCTACAACGACTGACAAATAGCCTGACTCGCAAGAGAGTGCTGCTACATCGACTGAGGGTTTGGTTTGGCCAGGCAGTCTATCAATTAAAAAAAAAATTTAATTTTTAAAATTTTTTCTGGTCTGGTTTATTAACGCGCTCTTTAAAACTACAGTTTATGGGAAACTTATTTTGATGCTATAATAACAAACAACAAAAAGAAAAAAAAAAAACTAAAAACCGCTGCCTAATCACCCGTATCAAATTTTGCAAGAACAAATTTGCTTTTATGCGTACATGAAGAGACTTGATTGCCTTTAGGCATTAAAATATAAGTACCATAAAAAGTTGTGTTTTCTTTGCTTATAAATTAATATATATATATATATATATATATATATATATATATATATATATATATATATATATATATATATATATATATATATATATATATATATATATATATATATATATATATATATATATATATATATATATGTATATGTATATATATATATATATATATATATATATATATATATATATATATATATATATATATATATATATATATATATATATATATGTTTTAATTCTTTCAATAGAATTTTCAAAATTTATTTGAATTTGCAATTAAAAGTTTTTCAGTTTTAGGTTATGTTTGCATGATTTTATCACTTTTTTTTTTACAACTATGCATGCAGTATGATTTAAATGCTATTTTATTTTGACATGTTTTATCCTTACTTGTAAAGTTTTAATGACCATAGGAAAGTATGTGCATACCAAGCACTATTAAGACACTGTTCATTTTATATGTATATTGAATAGATTACTTATTCTTTGATACATAGTGCAAGTACACCTTTATGAGTAATGTTATGTTCCAAGTTGCCCTGTGCCCTAGTTATGTTTCAAGTTAAAGAAATCAAGTTAAGGCATTTTCTCAAATATATAAACTAATCATAAATAAACAAAAAAAAATTATGCAGAGTTTAAATAGATTAAATGTCTATCTGCAATGAAAAAGTTAAGCAGACCAGCAAGGTTGATAACATCTAGTAAAGAGATCATTTAAAGTAGGGCTTAGCTTGGCAAAGTTGTTAAACGCTCCCGAGGATGTGGGTGCACAGATCCTTGCAATTTTATCCATCCAATCCAAATCCAAATGTCTATCCAATCCAAATCCAATTGCATTCTACTTGTGTCCATTCAATACAATTGAATAATAGTTTTGAAGTAAAGGTTAGTGTCTATCAGGATTCAGCATTTAATTCAAAGTTTTTTATGATTGTCTTGAAAGTTCCTCTGAAAAGTTTAGCATTAGTTCACCATGCAAACTACTCCATGCAGATAATTTATGCTTGATTGCAGAGACAAATAGAGAAGTAATACTAAGAGTGTTGGAAAGAGAAATTATTTTAGCAAAAAAGATCAAGATAAACATGAATAAGGTAAAAGTTATACATTATTAAGTTAAGAATAAGTAAATAGAAAATACTAGAAAGTTTAAAAAATGTACTTTTAAAGTAATCAAATATATATTTTCTGTGACGGCATACATTAACTCTTTTTTTTTATGCTTTTTAAAATTTTGTTGTTTTAGCTAATTGTATCACAGCAGGTCAACTTTTGTGTGGTAACAATTCTTTGTAAGAAAATAATATTAACATAACATTTGTTTTAGTATTTTTATTTTTTAAAACGCTAAATAATTAAATACATTTAAAAAATAAAAGGTAAATCTGCAGTTAAGCGGCCTAAAATAGTTCTAATTTCTTGCTCTCCTGTGGAGACTTTAAAATTTATCTATCCAACAATTTGCCATAAAATAGAAAAGTTCTTCTGTTTGAAGATCCACAATCTAAATATCTCTTAATGAGATTAGAAATTATTAATTATAACAATAATAATAATAATAATAATAATAATAATAATAATAATAATAATAATAATAATAATAATAACAATAATATTAGTAATAATAGTAATAAAAAGAAAAAGGTCAAAAAGAGATTAAAAGAAATAGTGGCTGAAAGATAGTGTGTTGGTTTATCTGAGTTTCATTATTTCAGAGACAAAAATTAAATCATCTTGTGAATCAGAAGTAGACAAGAGAAAGGTATGCTACTTTTTTAGATCTGTGCAACAAAAAAGTTGCACAGATCTAAAAAAGTCAAAAAAAAAATTTAAACCATACAAATCATTATGCTAAAACAGCGAGCACATGCCATCCTATGTTTTGAATTTTTCTAATTTTCACATAAGTTAAAGAGATTATGAATTAGAAAACTAGAAAATCTCAAAAGTTAAAGTATGCAACTGTTTATGGTTTTTGAAATATTTTGGTTTTATTTATGCCACCTCATGCCATGCATAATTTTTTGTCATTAAATAGCAATAATAAATGGATTGATCTGTTAACCTTATTTGGTACATAGACAGTGTTTCAAATAAATCCAAATATTGAACTTTTGATTGATAAGTGTCTGTATGTTTCCATTGGTTATTCAAAAATTCTTTATTGTTCTTTGTTAACTTTTCTATTATAAATTCTATTAAAGCAGTAATAGCAGTACATAATGGACATAATCCAATATCCACTCTGATTTATCTCTATTGCAAACAAACTTCTCCATCAAATCTCTATAACCCTTTTTAACTTTAAGAGCATCAGCTAACAATTTAACATTCTAATGATGGGTACAGACACAAACACTGTGAGGGCTGGACAAGATTAAAGCATTTTTGATGCAAAGCTGCAAAACTTGGAAAACCAAACATGTAAATAAGAGTATTTAGAATTGAATGCTACATAAAGTTTTTTAAATTAATCAATATTGGCCTTTTTTGTATGTGTAAAGTAATTTTTTTTTTTTTTTACAGGCATTATTCATTTGTATTCCCCAATCTAATAAAACCTATGAACAAGATCAGTTGTTTAATAGAAAAACAACTTTTTTTTTTTTAATGATGGTTGTATTTGTTTATTTTTACTTTTTATCTGCTTATTTTTATTATTTTTTATTTAATTATATTTATTCAAAATATTTTTAATTCAATAGCTAATGTAGTTAAATAATCAATACTATAAGCTTTAATTATTATGTTTGTTGCTGCTTCAGTAATTTGATTAAATTTTCATTTGGCAGCTATTAATTTATAGTGAATTGGCACTGGTTTAAAGCTTAACACACCTATAAGTTCAAAAAATTAATTAAGAGATGCATGTTATTCTCGATTAAACTCAATCTGACTAGCTTCGATCATGTGATCTTACTTTTTTAATCATACCCTATATCTCTTTGTAACAACTATTGCATAACTTCCATACAGGTACAGCAGAATCGTCTCTTGTTTTTAGAATTATTCACATTGATAACAATTCCTTCACACTTCAAAAAAAATTTTATCTCTAGGGTAAACAAATTTTAAATAAGACTGCTCTCCATAATAAATTGTGTTTTTCATCATTCAAAAATGTTGCTGCATCTAAAAGATTTTAACTTTTTTATTTAAAAAAAGTTTGGTACTTTAAGTTATAAAGAGACAAAAAATCAAAGGGACATCACCGTAAATAACATTAAAATACTCCAAAATGCCTTTATTATTTAATTTAGATGTTATTAAAGTACTCTGACAAGATTTAACAAGTTACATTTAGATGTTACATTTGGATTTGTTTACCATTATTTTATTATTGTTTTTATATTGATTTAGACGATTTAGATTTAAAAATTAAAGATATTTTATTATTTTATTTATTTTTAAAACTAATGTATTTGTCTTTTCAAATAACAATAACAATAAGAACATAAAATTGTTTTTGTATGCTTTACTTTTTTATATGCTCCAAATTTTAAAACACATATTCAGTTTGTTGTATATTCAAAGCTTGATTCATTTAATAATACATAAATATATCATTTGAATAATTGACTTTAGTGAAATTACAACTCAGTTACTTTTACAGTGCACAAAAAAATACTAGTAAAACATTTCTACACATAATTTAATAATTTAAAAGTCTATAGATTTTGATTCCCTTTAAGTCTAATAGAGGCTCTACTGCAGCGAATTTGTCTATAAATTTAGGTAACAATGAAAATCTAATAACTACAAAATTCAAAAAATACGTCACTCATACTTGAGTTTCTCTTTTTCAGAATTTGTCATTTTTGTTGCAGAAAGAGATACTGGAATGATTTGATAACAAATAATGACCAGTATAATCATGGTAATAGATAACATGTTCGACAAATGCATTTTTTGTTTTTATATTTTTAATTTTTTGTTTTAAGAAGCAATATCTGTAGAGATGTTGTGTCTTCTGAAGCTTCTATTAATTTGAATCGACATCTAATACTTGACCATTTTTTAATTAATATGTAAAATACTTAAAATTAAAATTAATATAATCAACATTGACGTCTTTTTTATATTAAAATTCGCCGACGTTTGCCAACGCAATATTATTATTTTAAAAAAAATTTATTTCGTATTTCGTATTATTACGTATTTCGTTCGATTGTTCCAAATCACGTGTTCTATACGTATATGTCACGTGCTCAGTTTCTTTTAATTTATTTACGTCGTAAATTGATGTCACCTTAGCTAATCTTGATTCATGATTTTGAATACTTTATTCGACCTGATCGTATTTAAAAAAAATTTTAACACTCACAACGGCTTGCAAAAATATGTGACGCAATTTTGAATTTATTAAAAACTTAAATTTAACCGGTAGATGATAGAATCAAAAACCTATTTCGACGTTTGAAGTTTTGTGTAAATTGATGAAAATATATTGATGTTTTAAATAATTGCGTGGCGTAAAAAACTAAGTATATATTTATAACTAACTTACATTTGAGTAAATAATAGTAGTCTTGAGGTACATATTTTAAAGATATTTTAAAGTTTTTAGCTCTAGTTTTATGCGTTATGTCTATGATTGTTGCCAATGCGTTATGTCAATGGTTTTTGTCAATAAAAAGTTAAATTGTTTATACAATTTTATTTATTATAAAAATTGGGAAGTGTACACACATAGTCTGACTTAAACATGTAAAACAAGAAGGGAATGTACATACATTGACTGACTAAATAGGTAGAACATGCAGGATGTGTACATACATCTACTAAGGGTTTCGGTTTAAACAAGCAATAAGTTAAAAAAAATTTTGTTTTAAAAAGTGTTTAAAAATCAAGGCAAACACTTATTTTGGTATATTCCGATCATCAATTTACACAAAACTTCAAACGTCGGAATAGGTTTTTAATTCTATCATCTACCAATTCAACCTCGTTCATACCGAAAATAAATCATGTTTTATTTTAACTGCGTTTTATACAATATAATGTCAACTGTATAATAAGTTCAATAAAAATATAAAATATAGTATTATAGCTCAATAACGCAATAGTTCATATAATAATAAAAACAAATAATAACTAAAAAATAATAATAGTTTATATAATAATGATAACTCATATAATAGTTCTCAAATGTATTATAGTGTATCAGCATCGGGTTACCAAAGTACCGCACGAAATAAAGCGCTTCGATTACGAGACAAGATCTACGATTACGAGAGGTGAGACCGAGTTTGATGCATCAAACTCGGTCTCACCTCTCTATTAAATAGACGTTTACGCGGCAACCTCATTCAAAAATATAAATTCGAAAACAGTATCGACTCAATTAGCTGGCATATAGATCCACCCAAGATCCCACCTAGCTTCGGTCATCGCAAACGCTTTCATCGTGAAATGTACAACAACTGCCTCGTTCGCTATTATTCCTTCAACAACCGCGTCGTTCACCCATAGAAAAAAATTCGATCAGCTTTAATAATTACTACAGCGCATCATCTTCCGTGCAATTTAATTTTTTATTTAATTTTACCAAAAAGTTATGTTACTTTCCAAGTTAAATAAAACAACATAGTGAAATTGTTTTATGCTCAAATAAAACTAGTTTTATTGTATGAACATTAAAACAAGTTTTGTTCCCAGAACTGCGTCTCTTGGTTGTGGGAACAAAGCTGTTCCCACAACACAAGCCTAATTATAAATTAATAAGTCAACCCCAAGAAAGTAATAAAAACGGAGGAGGAGTTGGTGTTTATGTTTTAAACAAATATTCATTTAAAATAAAAATCAAACTATGCTCGTCAAATTTTAATTATGAAAGTCTATTTATTGAAATAATAAATGACAAAGGTAAATACATTTTAGTTGGGTGCGTATATCGTCCACCGAGTGGAAAAATTAAATTGTTTGAAGAATTCATAAAAAATACAGTCTCAAAAATAAATAAATAAAAAAAAAATTGTATATTGCCGGCGACATAAATTTGAACGCTCTGACATATAAAAATAATCCAAAATATATATAATATCTTACCAGTTATAAATAAACCAACTAGGATAACTAAAAGTTCGGCAACTGCAATCAATAATATCTTTATTAACAATTAGATAGAAACGTTATTTGAGACAGGTATTTTTAAAACTGATATTAGTGATCACTTCCCAATATACGTTAAAATAAATCCTTTCAAAGCCCCATCCAACGGAGATCCCAAAGTTATAACTCTAAAAAAACGCAACCTATCAGAAGTTAATAAGAATAATCTTTCCGATAAACTAAAGCTAGAGACGTGGAATCAAGTTTTTAATTGTGATAATACAAATAAAGCATTTAATATTTTCTTAAACACATTTCTTGAAATTTATAACGAAACGTGCCCGTATGAATTTAAAATAACTAAAAAAAAAAACCAATATTGAATCCTTGGATGAATAAAACTCTTATAAAATGTTCAAGAAATAAACTTTACAATAAATTTTTAAAAAACAGAACTGAAGTTAATGAAAAAAGTTACAAAAAATATAAACGCTTTTACGAAAATCTTTTCAAGAAAGCTAAAAAAACATATTATAGTAAAGAAATTACAAAAATCAAATTCGATGTGAAAAAACATGGGATTTAATTAACGATATAATGGGAAGAAAGAAAATAAATACGGCTCAAAGAATAAATATCAATAAAACTGATATCTATTGTCCATTACAAATCTCGAATGAGTTAAATAAATATTTTACAAACATTGGCCCTAACCTTGCTAAAAAAATCATAACTACACCAAATTCTTTTCAAAAATATCTTAAATCTTTAAATGGCGCGATGCTGCAAGATCGCGAATTTTCTCTTGAAGAGTATGAAATTGCTTTTTCTTTTTTAAAAAAGAATAAATCACCTGGTTTCGATGATGTTTCTAGTAATATAGTTATTTCAAACAAAAAATACATCTCAAAACCTTTGTTCCATATTATAAAACTTTCAATAAAAGAAGGAATTTTTCCTGAAGCATTAAAGTTGGCAAAAGTATGTCCAATTTACAAAAATAATGATCAATCTGAAATCTCTAATTATAGACCTGTATCAGTACTTTCTGTATTTTCAAAAATATTTGAACGTGTAATTTATAATAGAATCTATAACCATTTTAATGAAAAAAATTTATTTTATACAAAACAAGCTGGTTTTCGGAAAAAACATTCAATAGAACACGCAATAATTGAAATAGTAGACCAAATTACTAAAGGATTTGAAAATAATAGCTTCACTTTAGGATTATTTATTGACCTATCAAAAGCATTTGATACGGTTGATCACCTAATTCTTTTGGAAAAAATAAAACACTATAGAGTGATAAATAAAACCTATGATTGGTTAAAAAGCTACCTCACTGAGAGAAAACAATATGTTATTAGAAAGGAATCAGGTCAACTTAATATTTTGTGTGGAGTTCCGCAAGGGTCAATTCTTAGTCCATTGCTTTTCTTGGTTTATGTAAATGATTTTAATAATGCATCAGCTAAGCTTAACTCAATAATGTTTGCTGACGACACAAATCTCTTCCTTTCAAACTGTGACATTAATCAACTGTATTCTGACATGAACTCTGAACTAATGAATGTAGATGAATGGTTTAAGGCAAATAAACTTTCACTCAATGTAGATAAAACGAAATATACTTTATTTCATAAAAAATCACAAGATGAAAAACTTCCTTTAAAATTACCTGATTTGATTTTAAACGATGTAAAAATGATTCAATAAAATACTTGGTGAAAATTTATCATGGCTTCCCCATATTAATTATATTCAATCAAAAATTAGTAAAACAATTGGTCTAATGTACCGTATTTGTCCATATGTAACATCAGAAAGTCTGAAATTAGTATATTTTGGCCTAATACATTGTTTCATATACTATGCCAATATCACATGGGCTAGTACTCAACCAACAAAACTTAAAAAAATATTTTCTTTACAAAAACATACATGCAGACTTATATATATAAAAAAATATATAAACATGCAAAACCATTAATGAAAGACATGAAAATGATCAATATATATGAAATCAACATTTACCAACGCCTAATTTTTATGTATAAATGTAACAACAGCTTGATTTTAAAAAACTTTAATGATAAATTTACAATAAATGAAAACAAAAAATATTATCTTAGAATAAACCAATGAAATACTTATAAATTACCAAGAATTAATAGTAAGTATTCTGAATATGGAATATCATACCGTGGACCAAAACTATGGAACACTTTTCAAAAAACAAAAAATTTAAATACTGTAAAATCACTAAATTCCTTTAAGTTTATAATAAAAAATAAATTTTTTAAATTAGATAAATAGTTTTCTTGATTTTTCGAAATGAAAAACGAGTTCCATTATTCTTAGTTTTTTTACTTATTAATTGGCTCTTATTTTGATACTTAACAGAGTTGTTAATATATTTTAATGAATATTGATAAAACTATATGATGTTATTTACTTACTTGATTTAATGGAAACATTTATGCAAGCTTTAACCTTTTTATTATATTGGAGATACTATTTTTTTTTACTTGTAAAGCCCACCTAGGGGCTCTATGAAAAGATTGTGGTGACTATAGTCATCCGTATCTTCTTTGAGCCCCTGCCTGTTTATTATAAATTCACTTTTTTTTTATATGTAAACGTTTCTTTGTAATTATATTTCTTATTATATAAACAGCAAATATATATTAAATAAAAAAAATAAAAAAAAAAAAAAAAAAATTGTGTACTCACAAGATTGGTTAAAATCTGAACTTCGAGGTATTTTAGTTTATATCCTTTAATTTTAATTTACTTTAATTTATTTACTAATTTTCAATTTTTCAATTAACAGAAAAAAACGATACTGCGATCTCCATTAATGAAAAAGAAAATGAAGCTGCTCTAATTCCTTGGGAAAAAAAGAAAAATACTAGTGGCTTTTGTCAATATAAAGACTTGTGCAAGATTTTGTTCGGAATTTACATGACGTCTAGCACTGATAATTATTGCTATCTATTGCTATTGTAAAATTATTTATTCCTGAAAAAAGTTTTTTGTTATAATCTT